TGACGCGAGCCTACCAGACGAGCTAAAGGACTTTCTCTGCTCACTTTGAGGAAAGCAAAACTGAACAATGCATGAGAGCACCAGCTGTTCCAGATGACTATGTGATTTTGCTCTCCGTAGCCGATGTGAGTAAGACCTTTAAAAAAGGTTAAAATTCACAAGGCCGTGGGGACAGACGGTTTACCAGAACGTGTGCTCAGAGCATGCTCTGACCAGCTGGTGGGTGTCTTTGCTGACATTTTCAACCTCTCCCTGACCCAGTCTGTAATACCTACAGTACGTTTCAAGCAGATCACCATAGTCCCTATGCACAAGAACGTCTAATTGACTATCGCCCCATATCACTCATATCTGTAGCCATGAAATGCTTTGAAAGGCTGGTCATGGTTCACATCAACACCATCATCCCAGACACCCTGGACCGACTCCAATTCGCACACCGCCCCAACAGATCCAAAGATGATGCAATCTCTATTGCACTCCACACTGCCTTCTCCCACCGGGACAAGAGGAACACCTATGTGAGAATACTGTTCATTGACTACAGCTCAGCGTTCAACACCATAGTGCCCTCCAAGCTCATCACTAACCTCGGACCCTGGGACTGAACACCTCTGCAACTGGATCCTGGACTTCCTGATGGACCGCCCCCATGTGGTGAGGGTAGGCAACAACACATCCACCACGCTGACCCTCAACACGGGGGCCCATCAGGGGTGCGTGCTTAGTCCCCTCCTGTACTCCCTGTTCACCCACGACTGCCTGGCAGTGTACGACTCCAACACCATCATTAAGTTTGCTGACATTCACGACAGTGTTAGGCCTGATCTCTGACGGTGATGAGACCGCCTATAGAAAGGAGGGCAATGTGGTGCCACGACAACAAACTTTTCTCAACGTCAGCAAGACAAAGGAGCTGATCATAGACTACAGGAAATGGAGGGCAGAGCACGCCCCCATCCACATTGACAGGGCTGTAGTGGAGCAGGTCGAGAGCTTCAAGTTTTTCGGTGTCCATATCACTAAAAGGAATTAACATGGACCACAGGAGGCTGAAAAGATTTGGCATGGGCCCTCAGATCCTCAACAAGTTCTACATCTGCACCATTGAGAGCATCTTGACTGGCTGCATCACCGCTTGGTATGGCAACTGCTTGGCATCCGACCGCAAGGCGCTACAGAGGGTAAGCGTGTGGCCTAGTACATCACTGGGGCCGAGCTCCTTGCCTTCCAGGAGCTCTATACAAGGCGGTGTCAGAGGAATGCCCTAAAAATTGTCAAAGACACCAGCCACCAAAGTCATAGACTGTTCTCTCTGCTACCGCACAGCAAGCGGTAGCGATGCACCAAGTCTGGAACCAATAGGACCCTGAACAGCTTCTACCCCCAAGCAATAAGACAACTAAATAGTTAACCAAATAGCTACCCGGACTATCTGCATTCTTGCACTATAACTCTTTTGACTTATCACATACGCTGTTGCTACTGTTTATTATCTATCCCATTGCCTAGTCACTTTACCCCTACCTATATGTACATATCTACCTCAATTACCTCATACCCCTGCACATCGGTACTGGTACCCTGTGTATATAGCCAAGTGATCGTTACTCATTGTGTATTTATTCCTCATGTTATTATTTTTCTATATTTTCCTCTTTCGTAAGAAAGCATTTCACCTGTTGTTTACAAAGCATGTAACAAATAAAATTTGATTTGGAATAGGGTGTCATTTGGGACGCAGCGAGGATGTATTTGTTTGACCGTCTCGTACCGTACAGTCACAGTGTCATGCCACTGGCATGATGGCATCTCTAGTATTAAGCACTCTCTGTTAAATGTTGACGGATGAAAATGCACTTTCATAGCGTAATATTATTAAGGTCCTTATTATTCTGTATCTGCATTAGATAAGAGCCCAAGCGTCCCATGTTCTATTTTACTAAAATGTCACCATATTTTGCAAAGATATTGAATCAACACAGCATTATATTCATCCATTTCAGCCACTTTACTCTGGAAAAATAGTAACATACTGTAATGGCCTATTTCCTACACTTTTTGTCATCATGTCTCAATACACATTCTTCACATGCAGCTGGAAATCAATCAGCGATAAACAGAAATGATATGAAATATAAAATGGCAGCCGCCATTGAGATAATATGAATGTGCTGCCTGTATGTGCTCTAACTGTCTAGATTCCACCCAGCAAAACCCTGACCTTTGTAGAATCATTATAATACCTTCTAATCTGAATAGTTGCTGTGGATATGGCCTTCCCTTTCCTGCTTGGTGGAAAGGGTACGCAGGATGATAATGGGAACATTTCAAGGGCTTCCTGCCTCTCTCTCTGCCTGCATGTGGGAATTAATGCCCGCCGGAATGAAATTGACACAATATTTGAGTGTCACCCAGCATCATTATCATGTACATTTCAAAATGTACAGATAAGAGAGAGCATTTGAATATGCTTTTTTTCTCACTAGACCCATAGTAGTGTGTTGGTGTCATCATGCGTTCAGCATGCAAACATTCTGTTTAAAGCTAAAGAGGCTGTTGTATGTAGTGATTACAGTCATGGCTATAGTCCATGCCATCATTGTAAATACAGTGTCTTGTGAAAGTATTCACCCCCCTTGGCATTTTTCCTATTTTGTTGCCTTACAACCTGGAATTAAAATAGATTTTTGGTGGTGTGTATCATTTGATTTACACAACATGCCTACCACTTTGAAGATGCAAAATATTTTTTATTGTGAAACAAACAAGAAATAAGACAAAAAAACAGAAAACTTGAGCGTGCATAACTATTCGGGATGATGAGAGGTGTTGGGTTTGCGCTAGACATAGCGTTTTCCTTGATGTCCAAAAAGCTCAATTTTAGTCTCATCTGACCAGAGTACCTTCTTCCATATGTTTGGGGAGTCTCCCACATGCCTTTTGGCGAACACCAAACGTGTTTGCTTATTTTTTTCTTTAAGCAATGGCTTTTTTCTGGCCACTCTTCCGTAAAACCCAGCTCTGTGGAGTGTACGGCTTGAAGTGGTCCTATAGACAGATACTCCAATCTCCGCTGTGGAGCTTTGCAGCTCCTTCAGGGTTATCTTTGGTATCTTTGTTGCCTCTCTGATTAATGTCCTTGCCTGGTCTGTGAGTTTTGGTGGGCGGCCCTCTCTTGGCAGGCTTGTTGTGGTGCCATATTCTTTCCATTTTTTAATAATGGATTAAATGGTGCTCCGTGGGATGTTCAAAGTTTCAGATATTTTCTATAACCCAACCCTGATCTGTATAACCCAACCCTGATCTGTACTTCTCCACAACTTTGACCTGTTTGGAGAGCTCCTTGGTCTTCATGGTTCTGCTTGCTTGGTGGTGCCCCTTGCTTAGTGGTGTTGCAGACTCTGGGGCCTTTCAGAACATGTGTATATATACTGAGATCATGTGACAGATCATGTGACACTTAGATTGCACACAGGTGGACTTTATTTAACTAATTATGTGACTTCTGAAGGTAATTGGTTGCACCAGACCTTATTTAGGGGCTTCATAGCAAAGGGGGTGAATACATATGCACACACCACTTTTCCGTTATTTATTTTAAATTACAGGTTGTAATGTAACAAAATAGGAAAAACGCAAAGGGGGATGAATACTTTTGCAAGGCACTGTAAGAATTTGTTCTTAATTAACCTTTCTGGTAAAATAATGATAAAATAAATAAAATAAAATAAATAGGTTGTTGTTAAGCACAAGGTGAAGAAGCTGTGGTGTGTTTTGCTGCATAAACCTACCATTAATTAACAACTTTGAAATTATCCATGAATTTGGAATGATCAACACAAGTAGTTGGGATAGAAACGTAGCCTACATCTTGTGGCCATTGAAACGATCATTGACACATTCCATTAAATGTTTTATCTTCGTGAAATGGACAACATTTCAGAAACAAGATCAATTTTCGTAATAATAATAAAGTCCTGACACCTTGGTATCAGATAGCCAATGCCTCTCTTGCTCTGTATCGCTTTCGGTTTCGGCCACATAGCCTATCCCTCAGAGATAAATAAAGAATATCCTTTGTGCAACAGTGACATCTTTTGGTTAAATATATCCCTGCTTGGAGTTGTGGAGAATGTGTGAGGTCCAGGTCCACAAATCATCAATAATATTCTGTATTAGGCTATTATGCTTTTATTTAGACACCAAATTTTGATCTAAAGATACATAACTAATCATAGAGAAATAAGAAACACCAATGCATCCAGTAGCCTTTAAAATAAATTGTTACCTGTGTAATAATTGCACTGTAATTTCTATAGTAACAATATTGTAATAACTAGGGTAAATGAAGTGTAATCTATTCTAGCCTAATCTCGGTTAACCCAGAACTCAAATCTCGCGTGATTGGTCAACTACCTTTTATGTTTTGGTGGTCTGCCCACCGTTTCCACAAGCTACCACAGCCACAAAGTCAAAATGGGCTATATCGTAATAATTCATGAAAATAAAAATTAGCTTTTTGGGTTTAATTTAAAGTTAGGGTTAGGTATAAGGTTAGCAGTGGGGTTAGGGTTAGGTTTAAAGTCAAATTTTAAAGAAAATACATTGTAGAAATAGGCGGGGTTTATGACTTTGTGGCTGTGGTAACTAGTATCTGCCCACAATAAAACTTGGTTTGAAAGACTATAGACGTAAATCCATTGCTATTCAAATGAAGGCTATTCAAATGAAGGCTAGTGCTTCATCCTTCACACAGATCACGGTCATGACATGTAGGCCTCCTCTCCTACTATGGACAAAGGCTACATTTAGTTGCTTCTTCTATTCATAACAGTGACACGTAGCTATGTCCTCTGGCATATAACATTTATGTCACATACTTCTACAGATATAATCTGAGATGTCAGATATCCATATCCTGACCTATCCTATTCAATTAATCCGTGGCCAACCCTCTCCTTTTCCCAGTGGTACTTCCGTTTCTGCGCAGTAAATTGAATTCACTCAAATTCTGAAGTTATACTGAGTTTCAGCAGCAGCGACTGCTGATGATATCCCCGTAGCCTACGTTGTCGGTGTAAATCTGGGCAGCTATGAGCGGAACTATCGACGGTGTTGTGTCCCCCACCCAAACAATTACAATACCTGCCGACATCTCCGGACAGATGTTAGATCTAGACGAGGATGACGATTTAGAAGTTTTCAGCAAGGTAAAAAGAACACTAGCCTAGCCTACTAATGTGGAACGTACGGGGAAGTTTAGAAACTGAGTTGGCGCAGGGGGTTGATGCGATATGTCTGTGCTACGTGGATAGCCTACATTTGACACTCAGTTCTGAGTTAATCGTTTAGGGAAGGTTGCATTGCTTTTGTAAATCCAATTAACTTCAGGCAGAAACGTGCATTGTTACGGTGCGTGCCACTTGGATAGTCTAAAATGTATCTTTTACCAGTTTAAATCACAGTATTTTACGTAGTCTACATTAATGCACCATAACTACATCTTAAAAGTATATTTTATATCAGACATTGGCTCGAAAAAAGTATTGACGTATCACCCTTTTCAATTATCTGCTGATGTTAGGCATGTTTTTGTCCGTTTCAAAGGTCACTCGATCAGGTGCTGTCATGCAAATAGTATTAGGACTAATGCCGCGTTCAAACAACTGGGAACTCGGAAAAATACGGGGTCAAATCATGACGTCAGTGATCTTCTGCTCGGAAAGTCGGAGCTCTAGAAAGTGGCCCGAGTTCCCGAATTGGAATTCCGAGTTGGATCACCGTTCAAATCGATTTTTCCCAGTCGAAGCTCGTTTTTTTCCCGCGTTCCCAGTTGTTTTGAACGCAATGAAGTCTGAAGTCGGAGATTTCTGAGTTCCAAGCGACCAGTTGTTTTGAACACGGCATACTTAATCTCGTTGCCATACACAGAGGCGTCATGCCCATAGGGGGCACGTGCCCCCTTAAATTAGTCCTGTAATTTTTATTTTATTTTTTACAAATGTTGTTTCTCTGTGATACTACTAGCCATCTAGCAATTTTATGAAGTTGGCTTTAGCTAGCCCAGATAGGTTCCCAACGTCATAACTAGCTACCAAGAAGCCATTTCAGGCAATCAATGAAGTTAGAGTAGCTTTCTTGTCTACCATAGCTGGCATGGCTGCTGGCAAGATTGGTAGACTTTAGAAAAGCAAACAATTACTAAATGTTAGTGCTGAGCGATTAACTGAAATGTCAGTTATTTTTTTATTTTTAAAGAACTAATTGACCGAAGTCCGTTAAATTATTTGAATTTCATTTAGTTCGTTTTTTTCTGTGAACTCAATGCGCACATTGCGCTGCAATTTCTCTAGAGCTAAATCAGATCAAGCACGAACTGTGCGATCTTGTAGGGAGTTGTAGTTTCCAATGTTCCACATAGTTTAGTGCAGAAAATCTGGTAATTAACTACAAAGACCATAATCCATTGCGCGCCTATTTGTCCGGTCTGTTTCTTTTACACCTGCTACGTAAAAGAGAGAAGAATGTGCGATCAAGAGGGATAGAAAGCAGTTGCTTCGCGACGTATCTCTACCTGAACATATACTTTTTTCTTCTTCATAGAATTAAGCATAATGATTATGACTAGATTGAAGGAAAACGGTGTTTGAAAAATGCAAAATGCTCCAATTTACAGACGTGGGCCTAAACCCGATTTTCCCCAGCCATCTTCACTTTTGTACCCCCTCAGATTGTTGGGGTGCATGATGCCCCTGTTGCCTAATGTAGCAATGTTTTTGATACTCTGTCACATTTTGTTGCCAAATCTGATTGTTGCATTATCATTGCTGGATGAAAGTTGTGGCCGCCAAGATCTCACAACTAAGTTACAGGGTTTTTGAAGTTCTTTCATCTGTCAGACTAGCAGAAGAAACAGACACATTTTGCAATGAACTTTCTGCCTTTCAGCAAGAAAGCCGCTCATGGTGCCAACTAAAACTGCCATGAGGGGACAGGAAATCAAATCAAGTGCATATTTGATCTAAATCGAATTGTTTATTTGTAGCCTATTATTTTTGCAACATCACAGAGAAAGCAGTTAAAATAGTTACATCGTTGTTGTTTCAGGTTGTGCTGTTCCCATTGTTTTGCGGTGCATATCGCAGCCAGGGGAGTAGCCTAGGCAGCAGGCTATGCATTCTGCTGACTACAGTAGCCTCTCAGTTCAGTGTTATTACAGGAAGCGTCATGAAAGGACAATGATAAAAGAGTGTCATGCTGCTCCCTGTGAACAATGGCACATCAGTTCAAGTCCGCTGAAACGTTTGTATGTTGTAGATGGCCTGTCCATGATTTGACTATGACACTACCATGGGTTGTTGACATCGGATTGTGGAAAGGTGAATAAATGATTTGCAAATGGTGCCATATATTTCTTGACAAACTGCATATGGAGAGGAAGTTCAGGGACCATTAAATACAACTGACAGTTGAAAGTTCCTTATCACAAACAAACTCGGTAGGATAGCCTACAGGTAGGTAGGACTGTTAGCCATTTTATAGGATCTGAGGACATCCCTCAGATGATAAATGCATTAAACTTACCTGACCCATCACATGTGACCTGTTGGACAAAAATGTGATGAATGCACAAATTGTCACAAATGATGTGCTACCTTGTCCCGGACCTGCTGTCTCGACCTCGGAATGGTCGGCTATGAAAAGCCAACTGACATTTACTCCTGAGGTGCTGACCTGTTGCACTCTCTATAAACACCATTACTATTATTTGACCCTGCTGGTCATCGATGAACGTTTGAACAACTTGAGGAACGATCTGACCTAAATGGCCATGTACTCTTATCGCCACCCGGCACTGCCAGAAGAGGACTGGCCACCCCTCAGAGCCTAGATCCTCTCTAGGTTTCTCCCTAGGTTCCTGCCTTTCTAGGGAGTTTTTCCTAGCCACTGTGCTTCTACAACTGCATTGCTTGCTCTTTGGGGTTTTAGGCTGGGTATCTGTATAAGCACTTTGTGACAACTGTTGATGTAAAAAGGGCTTTATAAAATACATTTTATAAGGGTTGACCAAGCAGGCAATGAGAGAACTGAGTAGGGTGATAATATAAACTTGAAGTTTTTTACAGATTAAGAGAAATAAAAAAAACAGTGCATAAAAAGGGTACTTAAAGGTCTGTAAATTAATTAAAGTAAAACTGTTTCAACACCTCAAACATAGATACATGTATAAGTGAGGTCTACATGGCATAACAGGAGCAACTCCAAGGGTTAACTCCAGCCATAATGTTAGAGCACAGAATATAAAGGGATGGCCAGTTCCAAATATCTGAGGCAGGATGCACATAAATGCACACAAAAGATGCACATAAATGATCAAGGATCTGTTCTTAAATGTTTTAGCATAAACATGATTTTAAGCATACATATTATTATTGTATTTTTTATGATGCATTTTAAATATATGCATTTTGAATAGAAAATTCTAGCATAACATTTTAAACTGGGGAACTCCATTTCCCCTATGCTGGACAGCGGTGGTATCAGCTGACACGCCCCTCAATTTCAGGATAATAGGACGTGCCAATTAGCAGCATGCCCTCTAACAAGCGCACCTGGCCTTCATGCTGCAGACAAGGCACCCGAAAAGATCTGCAGAAACTCAAATGGTAAAACCTAGAAATAATTGCTGGATTTAGATGTTACAAATATAAATCAAAGAGCGTGCACTCAACTTAAAATTAATATATGCAACAATTCAATAAAGATGTCTTTGATATTTGAAATGGAAACCACGTGTTGGGTCATTATTTGATTGGACACAATGTTTGGTGCAAATGAATGTTAAAGTGCAAAGGAAAGGGCTTCTTAGCTGTGTGGCTACATGTGGCCGTCACATCACAAGATGGTGCCGCGTAACAATCTCATACACTATGTACTGTATGGTATTTACTGTAGTCTGTTGTGACAGAAGTAACTGGCCAGCGCATGTGAGTTTTGGTTCTGGGTTCCTCCTCCAGATTATTTAAATCAGTTCTGCCCTTCATGATTTGTTTTTCTAGGATGCGACCCTTGCGGACGGGAGTATGTTCAATGCCTCCATGCAAACATCCCCAGGCTCCATGGTCAACCAGTATAAGTTTGAGGAGGACGAGGAGGGTGACTCTAAAGACATTTTCATTACCGTGGACAACCCAGAAAGTCATGTGACTGCCATTGAGACCTTCATCACCTACAGAGTTCTGACCAAGGTGGGGGGGGGGTGTCCTCATTGTGGGCATGTGTAATGTACTGTATGTCCTCTAGAAATTGAATTGCATTGATTGTACAGTATATACCAGATTGTGTATTTGCCAATAGGATTGAGTTAATCGGGTTCTGTGTTTCTCTCCCTCGGCCTCCCTCAGACCACACGGAGTGAGTTTGACAACTCTGAGTATGAAGTCCGCAGGCGCTACCAAGACTTCCTCTGGCTCAAAGGGAAACTGGAGGAGGCCCACTCCACTCTCATTGTTCATGTATGTAGTCTCTGACCTGTGAAGGAATTGAGAATTTGGTTAAACTCCACACTATCGATCCACTGTATATATTTCTGAGCTTAATCCTCCTTCCTGTCCTCAGCCTCTGCCAGAGAAGTTTGTGGTGAAGGGGATGGTGGAGAGGTTCAATGGTGATTTCATCGAGACACGGAGGAAAGCTCTCCACAAGTTCCTTAACCGTATCGCTGATCACCCCATTCTGTCCTGCAGCGACGACTTCAAAGTCTTCCTTACTGCTCAAGTCTGGGTAAGCAAGCATATACCAAACTCGTACATAACAAACCACACCAAACACATACTCCATAAAAACTTTCAGAGAGCACACAAAAGACATACACGTTACGCAGTCAGACTACACACACCTGCTACGTCAAGCTAGTCTAATAACTCGCACATGGTGTAGTCACGCTGCCCTACCACAACCTGATTAGCCTACTAGTTTAATGCCTAGACTTTAACTCTGTGTGAATGAATGCTTCCCTTGTGTCCCAGTGTCTTTTTAGAATGTTAACAGTTCACAGATCAAATCAAATCGTATTGGTCACATGCGCCGAATACAACAGGTGCAGACATTACAGTGAAATGCTTACTTACAGCCCTTAACCAACAGTGCATTTATTTTAAACAAAAAAGTAAGAATAAAACAACAACAAAAAAAAGTGTTGAGAAAAAAAGAGCAGAAGTAAAATAAAGTGACAGTAGGGAGGCTATATATACAGGGGGGTACCGTTGCAGAGTCAATGTGCGGGGGCACCGGCTAGTTGAGGTAATATGTACATGTGGGTAGAGTTAAAGTGACTATGCATAAATACTTAACAGAGTAGCAGCAGCGTAAAAAGGATGGGGTGGGGGGGCAGTGCAAATAGTCCGGGTAGCCATGATTAGCTGTTCAGGAGTCTTATGGCTTGGGGGTAGAAGCTGTTGAGAAGTCTTTTGGACCTAGACTTGGCACTCCGGTACCGCTTGCCGTGCGGTAGCAGAGAGAACAGTCTATGACTAGGGTGGCTGGAGTCTTTGACAATTTTGAGGGCCTTCCTCTGACACCGCCTGGTATAGAGGTCCTGGATGGCAGGAAGCTTTGCCCCAGTGATGTACTGGGCCGTACGCACTACCCTCTGTAGTGCCTTGCGGTCGGAGGCCAAGCAGTTGCCATACCAGGCGGTGATGCAACCAGTCAGGATGCTCTCGATGGTGCAGCTGTAGAATTTTTTGAGGATCTGAGGACCCATGCCAAATCTTTTCAGTCTCCTGAGGGGGAATAGGCTTTGTCGTGCCCTCTTCACGACTGTCTTGGTGTGTTTGGACCATGATAGTTCGTTGGTGATGTGGACACCAAGGAACTTGAAGCTCTCAACCTGTTCCACTACAGCCCCGTCGATGAGAATGGGGGCGTGCTCAGTCCTATATTTTTTTTCCTGTAGTCCACAATCATCTCCTTTGTCTTGGTCACGTTGAGGGAGAGGTTGTTGTCCTGGCACCACACGGCCAGATCTCTGACCTCCTCCCTATAGGCTGTCTCATCGTTGTCGGTGATCAGGCCTACCACTGTTGTGTCGTCGGCAAACTTAATGATGGTGTTGGAGTCGTGCCTGGCCATGCAGTCATGGGTGAACAGAGAGTACAGGAGGGGACTGAGCACGCACCCCTGAGGGGCCCCCGTGTTGAGGATCAGTGTGGCAGATGTGTTGTTACCTACCCTTACCACCTGGGGGCGGCCCGTCAGGAAGTCCAGGATCCAGTTGCAGAGGGAGGTGTTTAGTCCCAGGATCCTTAGCTTAGTGATGAGCTTAGAGGGCACTATGGTGTTGAATGCTGAGCTGTAGTCAATGAATAGCATTCTCACGTAGGTGTTCCTCTTGTCCAGGTGGGAAAGGGCAGTGTGGAGTGCGATAGAGATTGCATCATCTGTGGATCTGTTGGGGTGGTATGCAAATTGGAGTGGGTCTAGGGTTTCTGGGATAATGCTGTTGATGTGAGCCATGACCAGCCTTTCAAAGCACTTCATGGCTACAGACGTCAGTGCTACGGGTCGGTAGTCATTTAGGCAGGTTATCTTAGAGTCCTTGGGCACGGGGACTATGGTGGTCTGCTTGAAACATGTTGGTATTACAGACTCAGTCAGGGACATGTTGAAAATGTCAGTGAAGACACTTGCCAGTTGGTCAGCACATGCTCGGAGTACACGTCCTGGTAATCCGTCTGGCCCCGCGGCCTTGTGAATGTTGACCTGCTTAAAAGTCTTACTCACATCGGCTACGGAGAGCGTGATCACATAGTCATCCGGAACAGCTGGTGCTCTCATGCATGCTTCAGTGTTGCTTGCCTCGAAGCGAGCATAGAAGTGGTTTAGCTCGTCTGGTAGGCTTGTGTCACTGGGCAGCTCGCGGCTGTGCTTCCCTTTGTAGTCTGTAATAGTTTTCAAGCCCTGCCACATCCGACGAGTTCTTAAGAGGATCAAGTTTAGACAACGCATATTATACTCTGTCGTTTCAGGACGTAATGTTAAGCCTCAATGAGAACAGGGATACAACCACTGGATTGTAGTTTAGGTTGAAGGGGAATTTTCTCATCTTATCAGGCACTTGGTGTGTGGTTTGAGTTTGTAGAACATAACATTTAATTCAAGGTCAATTTGACATGAAAGCCATTTCTGTAACTTGATGACAGTGGAATGTTCTAATCTAGAGCACATGTTATTGTAGGAATGAAAGGATAGGATACAGTATCTGTCTCTGACATACTTAATTTATGTCTATCGATATTATGTAAATCTCACTCCTTCCAATGTAAAGCATAAGTAAGATCAATGAATATAATTTGCTGCAATCTGCCATACTACAGGATGGGACTTTGTCAAAGATCATTGATTGTTCTAAAGCCTTTATTTGACCCCTGTTTGTGTGCATGCATGCTTGCGCATGTGTCTGTCCATCCGTCTGTCCCTGTAGGAGCTGACAACCTATAAGAAGCAAGGACCGGGGTTCTTGAGCAGGATGGGGGAGACGGTGCGAGCGGTGGCTAACTCCGTCAGAGGGGTGAAGAACCGGCCAGAGGAGTTTACTGCCATCCAAGAGTACGTAGAGGATTTCAGCAACAAGATCACCTCCCTGGACAAAGTCACCCAAAGGATCGTCAAAGAACAGAAAGGTAAGACCACAGAGTTAAATAGAACTCTATAAACGTACCACCACCTCACTGGATTACATGGGAATGTAGCGTTTTCAATCAGACTTGTACATTATGGGTAGTTGACCGTACATCTCTTCGTTTCAAACATGGAGAATGATAGAGGACTCTTGTTCTTTGTATCTGTACCATTATGGTGTCTGTGAGCGCACGTGCAGCGACATTGAGGCAATCTCCATTTTGAAGTAGTACATTTTCTTCTACTACTTCTGAGTTGGTAAACAAACTGCAAGGGTGCATACAACCACCTGGAGTGTGTTTGAACAGGTATAAAGCCAAGCTTGGATATTTACTGCCACCTCCAGTTATGGAATATTTGCTCACAAGGATAATTCATTGGCTGATGACCCCGATGGAATTATGTGATCCTTTATTAACCCATAGGAAGTCCCACCCAGTTGACTACTTAAAAATTATGAAAGTCCTCAATGCCGCTACCCATGCTAGAACAGAGTCCTCTATGGTCTCAAAGTACCTGGAGGAGCTGAAAGGTAGTGCATTGTGGGTAGTGTAGTTGACAGTACATATCCCTGTTTGTGTCGCAAGAGTATCTGGAGGAGCTAAAGGAGTACGGTCCCACGTACACCCTGTGGTCGGGCTCAGAGGAGGAGCTAGTGGAGCAGTTAAAAGGTGTAGCCGGCTGCATAGAAAGGTGCTGTAAAGAGACAGAGGAACAGGTCGGCCATCTCTCAGACACCCTGGTGCCTGCTTTACACGAGTACGTCCTGTGTGCTGAGACACTCAAGGTAAGACCACTCCTCTGCAGTAAGACAGTAAAGGAAGTCGTTTAAGCGGCTGTTAAGTGGCGTTTAAGACGTCATGACAGCCCAGCACTGTGCAGTTGGCAAAATGACAGCCCAGCACTGTGCAGTACTTGCTAAACCTGTATTATGTTGATGAAACCATGAAAGGCTTTGACTTAACTTGCCCCCATCACCCACACATATTTACATAGTCTACATACACAAACATACTTACTGCGTAGATAATATCAAGCCTAATGCATCGTTTTGTTGGTGTTTCAGGAATAAGCAATGATCACTGCTAGATTATTTTATTTTCCTTTTCTCTAGGCAGTATTGAGACGGAGGGATAACATCCAGGCAGAATTTGAGGCCAAGAATGAAGCTCTGGCCACCAAGAAAGTCGACCGAGATGCAGTAAGTGCAATACTGACTCTTTGTAAATGTAACATGGTCAGTAAGCTAGTCAGTGGGGGGGGGGGTTCAAGTGAGTGTTAGTTTAGGAAAGGCAATTTTTTTATTCTAGAATTTTTTATATGCATCTTCTATAAGCCACCAGTCGGCCTACCTGATGCTTCAGTGCAATTTCCCAGAGATTAGGAGTAATAAAGCTGTGCTGTCTGAACTGCCTCCTCGTCACCTCTCATTTGAAATCAAGCGGTCTTAAGCCAGAGGAGGAGCTTTGGCGATATTGGAAAAGGCCTCCTCTGAGGATTATCTAAATATCTCCGGATAGTTCAGGATGTCCCTCTTGAGCTCCTGGCAGACTTCAGGAAACTGGGTGGTAAATATTGTCTAATATAGCCTTGATAATCACTGCGTAATGAAAACTCCCACATCTATCGACGTCTTACATCGAAATGCCACTGACTGGTGGTAAGATCTGATATGGATGGAGAATGAAGAATGGAAAGGGATTGAGAGGACAGAACTGTTTGGGATAATTGCTGTTCAAATCCTGTGGGTGTCCCTGGTTCCTTCCTAGCTTAGCAGTGACCTTTTACCCTGAGATTTTAATTAGGTTGCTGGCTGAGAAATCACCTGTGGATTTCCAACAATGCACTGTAGTAGCGTGTGTTTAAACAATGGGATCTAGAGTTCTAGAACAATGAAGGACTGTGAGGATGAGGTTTACAGTGCTTTGTGAATGAGTCAATGTCAAATGTATGCCTTTGTAGCAGGTCCCAGTGTTTCACCAAACACAATAACTGAGTAAGATCTTTCATGTAGTTTCACCTGGAAAGACTATATGCAAAATAAGATTAGGCTACATTCATGTGACAGTCCAACGCAGTGTGACACGTACATTTATGTCATACAGACAATTCTGAAATATTCAGCTAGGCATGTACAAATGTTGACAACTTGAATATTTTGTCATTAGTAATAACATAGTTGTAACTATTGTCTGTGAAAATGAGACAGCAGAGGGGCACAGCATACAGGCCCAAACTACAACACCTACTAGTGTTTCCCCTAGGTACAGATCTGGGATCAGCTTCCCCTTCTCCAATCCTAACCTTAACATTTTAGCTGAGAAAAGGACAAAACTGATCCAAGATCAGCATCTAAGGGCAACGTCATCCTACACCATGCAGACATGAGCATTCATTCCTGTTCCTGTTGTGGCTTTTGCCCTCTGACCTCTGTGACATGTTGAACTCCCTGTGATGTGACTGGAGGAGTCTAGTGATCTAGGTTTTGTGTGGGGGAGCCTGCTGGGTAAAAACCCCGAAGAAGCCAGACATCAGAGGCAGGAGAGACTTGATGTGGAGATTGAAGAGGTACAGCGAACTGTGGACCATGCAACTGTAGTAAACAGCTTCTGCTTAACTTTGCTTTGAGTGGAGCTTTTAGCTTTCCCTTTGCTGAATGGACATGTTTGAGATGTTAACGTTTTCAAAATGAGCAAAAATATAAAGCTAGAAAGTCAAATGGGCTTAACATTATTTTGTTTGTCTTTTTAGTAATTTTGTATTAACACAAATTAAAATGCTACCAACTATCGACTTGTCCATTCAAGCAAGCAGTGGTTGAGCAAGTCCCACCTTTCTAACAGCTTGTTTGTGCTGTACATAGTTCGCTGGATGGTAGTTCTAGATTATCCTGACCCTAACCTCTAACACTTTGGCTGGGTTTGCTGGATGTTGTTTATCTGGCCTAACTCATAGATAGTGCATTTAACATTGACTGGCTGTGGTTTGAAGCAGAATGTCATGTTTCCATTTCCCAGCACAACCGGTCTGGAGATGGGATGTTGAATTGTGCTTTTCTCACGGCCTTGCCAAGGTGTGGGTCCCGTGTAGCTCAGTTGGTAGAGCAAAAATGTATGCACTCACTAACTGTAAGTCGCTCTGGATAAGAGCGTCTGCTAAATGACTAAAATGTGCATGAAACTGGGAAACGACTGGACATACAATTGTAATGTAGTATTTGAACCAGTAGATGGCAGAGATGCTTCAATCAAGAAACAAAGCCCAGAAAAAAACAATGAAACGTCTTCTGTCAATTGTTCACGTTCCACCCAACTTGTAATGATTTGAGAAGAGAAGGGAATCTTTTGGGTTGCAATTATGGAAAAGGTTAACATAAGTGTGTGTGTGTGCGACCCTGTGTGTGTGTGTGTGCGACCCTGTGTGTGTGTGTGTGCGACCCTGTGTGTGTGTGCGCGACCCTGTGTGTGTGTGCGACCCTGTGTGTCAAATCAAAATCAAATCATATTTTATTTGTCACATACATGTGTTTAGCAGATGTTATAGCGGGTGTAGCGAAATGCTTGTAAAATTAGTTTTCCCCGGCTGTATGTAACGATACAAAACACTTTCTGAGCTAATAATGTAAAAAGTAATACATAAAAAAACAAAATACTGCAAAGTTTCCTAAGAGCTAGTCGCGAGGCCGCCATCTTCATCTGCGCCGGTACTGTGCATCCCTGTGTGTGTGCGTGTGTGTGTGTGCGACCCTGTGTGTGTGGTAATGACAGTGAGGATGAGTCCACATTGTCACCTGGGAGATAGTTGCTGGTCCAGACAGCCAGCCAGACATAGCAGCTAAGCCTTTACCCACGGTCTGTTGGTCTCCCCAACCACCCTCTTGTTACACATGACAAGCTCTCCTAATCAAGACACAGCCCGTCAAGTCTCGCGTCGATCCCCTTCTAAACAGGACCAGAGCGCTAACGCCGCACAACCCTTATCAGCTCCACCTGTCAATATCCACCTCGTCTCAAATGGAGCCATGCATATCTGAGCACTGCTAATTTGAGACCAAGGTCTCCCTCAGGACCCTGTATTATCTTATCCCTGTGTATCTGATTAATTATTCAATAAGTTCCTCTCTGTGTGTGTTCTGACAGACAGTCATATGTTTGGGGGCAACGGACTGAGACTGTTGTACTCCAGAGGGAGCGCTTGTTTAAATGAGAGACAGGCATTGGGCTGGTTAGGTAGGACCATGAGGTAGCTGATGAATCAATAACACTGCAGTAACCTTACAAACAGGACCATTGAGAGAGATGGCTCTCCAGAGGGGTGTATGTATCACAAAGTAGCAGGAACAGCAAAGTTGACCAGCTAACTTTGATAAACATTTACTGGATCACAAAGCAGTAGCATCTAACTTGGATAAACATTTACTGGATCACAAAGCAGTAGCAGCTAACTTGGATACACTGATGTATAGTCTCTTTTCATATGTTTTACATGTCAACTGTCAGACCAGGATTAGTAAGTTAGCTAACTTTGATAAACATTCACATAAAGGTCTTGATCATTAGGCTATATCACACGTGTACACACACAACCATAGGATATGCCAAATAATAAACCACAAGCTTAATGGTTTTCGTTTTTATGTCAATGAAATGACAACACAAATGTATTAACATTGGAAGGCCTGATATGGGTGCTATCCAAGGAGGAAATCCTCTTAATTAGCCTTGCCTATGAATCAGTTAGTTTATAACGCTATGTTACATTTACTACTACTGTCCCTGCGTGGTGAGACGATTTAATGCTTCCATCAGACCAGAAATTATTTATCAGCAGTTTTCAGGGGCACAGTGGTCGTGTCCGAATAACCATACTAGCGTACTACATACTTAAACTACATACTACACTGAAAAATATAAATGCAAAATGCAACAATTTCAAAGATTTTACTGAGTTACAGTTCATATAAGGAAATCAGTTAATTGAAATAAATTAATTTGGCTCTAATCTATGTATTTCACATGACTGGGAATACAGATATGCATATGTTGGTCATAGATACCTTTTTAAAAAAAATTTAGGGACATGGATCAGAAAACCTATCAGTATCTGGTGTGATCACCATTTGCCTCATGCAGCGCAAGACATCTCCTTCACATATAATTGATCAGGCTGTTGATTGTGGAATGTTGTCCCACTCCTCTTCAATGGCTGTGCGAAGTTGCTGGATATTGGCGGGAACTGGAACAGGCTGACGTACACATCGATCCAGAGCATCCCAAACAAGCTCAATGGTTGACATGTCTGGTGAGTATCGAGGCCATTGAAGAACTGGGACATTTTCAGCTTCCAGGAATTGTGTACAGATTCTTGCGACATGGGGCTATGCATTATCATGCTGAAACATGAGGTGATTGCGGCGGATTAATGGCACGTCAATGGGCCTCAGGATCTCGTCACAGTATCTCTGTGCATTCAAATCACCATCGATAAAATGCAATTGTGTTTGTTGGTCGCAAACCCACAGTTTCATCAGGTGTCTGGGTAGCTGGTCTCAGACGATCCTGCAGATGAAGAAGCCGGATGTGGAGAGATTAATCCGTGAAGAGCACACTTCTCCAGCGTGCCGGTGGCCATCGTAGGTGAGCATTTGCCCACTGAAATCGGTTATGATGCAAAACTGCAGTCAGGTCAAGACCTGATGAGCACGCAGATGAGCTTCCCTGAGACGTTTTCTGACAGTTTGCAGAAATGTTTTGGTTGTGCAAACCCACAGTTTCATCAGCTGTCCGGGTGGCTGGTCTCAGACGATTCCGCAGGTGAAGAAGCTGGATGTGGAGGTCCTGGGTTGGCGTGGTTACACGTGAGGCCGGTTGGATGTACTTCCAAATTCTCTAAAATGACGTTGGGAGGCGGCTTATGGTGGAGAAATGAACATTCAATTCTCTGGCAACAGCTCTGGTAAACATTCCTGTAGTCAGCATGCCAATTGCACGCTCCCTCAAAACATGATCTGTGGCGTTGACAGAACTGCATGATCATTACACAGGTGCACCTTGTGCTGGGGACAATAAAAGGCTGCTAAAATGTGCAGTTCTGTCACACAACACAATGCTACAGATGCCTCAAGTTTTGAGGGAGCGTTCAATTGGCATGCAGACTGCAGGAATGGCCACCAGAGCTGTTGCCAGAATACTTTATTTCAATTGACTTATTTCCTTGTGTACCTTAACTCAATAAAATCTTCTGAAGTTGTTGCATGTTGTGTTTTTTATTTTTGTTCAGTATATTTAGGACTTAAGTATGGATATTCGGACATGGCCACTGTCTTAAATAAAACTGGCCCCATCACGTGATTTCTTTGTGTAAAGGTCTTCTTGCTTTAAATGTTCTGTATGTCCAGGTTGTTGTGGTTGATGTGAAGGGATATTGCACTGTAATATGTAATGTTGGTAAGAGGAGGCAGATGATGATGATGATGATGATGATGGTTGTGTGTGTGTGTGTGTTAGCTGAAGGAGGAGATTGATAAACTGGAGGACCGTGTGGAATGGGCCAACAATGCACTGAAGGGTGACTGGGGCCGATGGCAGAGGAGCATGAGAGGAGACCTCAAATCAGCCTTTCTCTCCACCGCAGAGAAGAACGTAGACTACTACGAGAAGGTGAGATACTCTGACTGGTTAGCGGGATGGATGGAGGGAGGGAAATTTGGATAGAGACACTATTGATATGGGAGATAGTTGGAGACTGGAGTCAAATAAGAAAGAGAAGCATGTGGGTGGGGGTGGGGCGCAGAGTGGGAGTTGGAGGCAATGGAAGAGAATAAGAAAATATTAAATTAGAGAGCCAGAAAAGCACTTGGAGAGAATGTGAGAGAGACTATATAAATTGTGTCAGGGAGAGAACTCCCGAGAACCAAAACTAAAATGGTTATAGTGGTAATTTACGATGTCATCTTTTATAGTTTTGGGATGAATTATAACCGTAAGTCCTTCAATGCAATTTGGGCAGAAATATGGTTGTCTGTGCTGTGTATTTCTAGTCACTGTCTGGACAACTGCCAGTAGAGGGGGTAGTACTTCATCTTTATTCATACTCACAAATTACTGTCAGTTCATAGAGGTTGTCAATGCAGATAATTGCAGTATAAATTGATGCTTCATCTTATGGATACCTTAAATACACTGCTCAAAAAAATTAAGGGAACACTTAAACAACACAATGTAACTCCAAGTCAATCACACTTCTGTGAAATCAAACCACTGTCCACTTAGGAAGCAACACTGATTGACAATAAATTTCACATGCTGTTGTGCAAATGGAATAGACAACAATAAATGACTGGTTTTGCAGGTGGTGACCACAGACCACTTCTCAGTTCCTATGCTTCCTGGCTGATGTTTTGGTCACTTTTGAATGCTGGCGGTGCTTTCACTCTAGTGGTAGCATGAGACGGAGTCTACAACCCACACAAGTGGCTCAGGTAGTGCAGCTCATCCAGGATGGCACATCAATGCGAGCTGTGGCAAGAAGGTTTGCTGTGTCTGTCAGTGTAGTGTCCAGAGCATGGAGGCGCTACCAGGAAACAGGCCAGTACATCAGGAGACGTGGAGGAGGCCGTAGGAGGGCAGCAACCCAGCAGCAGGACTGCTACCTCTGCCTTTGTGCAAGGAGGAGCAGGAAGAGCACTGCCAGAGCCCTGCAAAATGACCTCTAGCAGGCCACAAATGTGCATGTGTCTGCTCAAAAGGTCAGAAACAGACTCCATGAGGGTGGTATGAGGGCCCGACGTCCACAGGTGGGGGTTGGACATTTGGCATTTGCCAGAGAACACCAAGATTGGCAAATTCGCCACTGGCGCCCTGTGCTCTTCACAGATGAAAGCAGGTTCACACTGAGCACGTGACAGAGTCTGGAGACGCCGTGGAGAACGTTCTGCTGCCTGCAACATCCTCCAGCATGACTGGTTTGGCGGTGGGTCAGTCATGGTGTGGGGTGGCATTTCTTTGGGGGGCCGCACAGCCCTCCATGTGCTCGCCAGAGGTAGCCTGACTGCCATTAGGTACAGAGATGAGATCCTCAGACCCCTTGTGAGACCATATGCTGGTGCGGTTGGCCCTGGGTTCCTCCTAATGCAAGACAATGCTAGACCTCATGTGGCTGGAGTGTGTCAGCAGTTCCTGCAAGAGGAAGGCATTGATGCTACGGACTGGCCCGCCCGTTCCCCAGACCTGAATCCAATTGAGCACATCTGGGACGTCATGTCTCGCTCCATCCACCAACGCCACATTGCACCACAGACTGTCCAGGAGTTGGCGGATGCTTTAGTCCAGGTCTGGGAGGAGATTCCTCAGGAGACCATCCGCCACCTCATCAGGAGCATGCCCAGGCGTTGTAGGGAGGTCATACAGGCAAGTGGAGGCCACACACACTACTGAGCCTCATTTTGACTTGTTTTAAGGACATTACATCAAAGTTGGATCAGTCTGTAGTGTGGTTTTCCACTTTAATTTTGAGGGTGACTCCAAAAAATGAGCATGGCCTTATTTCTATTAAAACATATTGGATGACTGTCATTCATATTTCATTCACCCAGCTCTATGTAACATTGATAGGTTTAGGCTACTACGTGATATTAAAAATTTCCTGATACCCATCATGAGGTTGCTACAACCTAGCCTGTAAATGAAAGTTTACAACGTAGGTGCGCAGGTCGAGAGAAATCTGAGTAATCAAGGTGACAGACATTGACAAATTCAATACCGCCTTGCACAATCTTGCCTGCATCTAATTTAGCTGATCTCGAGTGTAATTATTAGTCCAACAGTTGCAAATTAGAGTTTCAAGTGGACAAATTCAGGTATGTTTATCCCCGTTTTGTTCCGTTTGCTTCCGTTTTAAGAAATGTTTTTCAACAGAATCGGCGGAATGAATTCACCCCTGATAACACGCAAACATAGTTCACATTCATAGCAGCCACATACGAACAGCATGATCCCTTCTACAATGATTTTTGTTGTTGTTGATGCGACACGATTTGGGCGTCCGCATGGTCCTAAAGCACACCGTTGCCTCGTTTTATATCACATTCCAATGATAAAACTGGGGGGGACAAAAATGCAATTTCAGAATGTGGGGGGTATATGTCCCCCGTCCCCAGTGAAAGTTGCACCCCTGATTATTACCCTGCAAGAAAGGAGTCTTGTCTAGACAAGCCCGTCAAGATCCATATCCGATAAGCCCATCGCTCATATGTTTTCTTGTATGGCCTGAAGTTAGCATCATTGTTTAATGCAATAACATAGTGTGGGGGAAAAAACGCTTCCATTATGGGATACTTTGAGACAGAGCAGACGATTTAAGTCCTCAGCTGGTTATAATACATACAGTTGAAGTCGGAAGTTTACATACACTTAGGTTGGAGACACTAAAACAAGTTTTTCAACCACTCCACACATTTCTTGTTAACAAACTATAGTTTTGGCAAGTCGGTTAGGACATCTACTTTGTTTATGACACAAGTAATTTTTCCAACAGTTGTTTACAGACAGATTATTTCACTTATAATTCACTGTATCACAATTCCAGTCGGTCAGAAGTTTACATACACTAAGTTGACTGTGCCTTTTAAACAGCTTGTAAAATTCCAGAAAATTATGTCATGGCTTTAGAAGCTTCTGATAGGCTAATTGACATAATTTGAGTCAATTGGAGGTGTACCTGTGGATGTATTTCAAGGGCTAACTTCAAACTCAGTGCCTCTTTGCTTGACATCATGGGAAAATCAAAAGAAATCAGCCAAGACCTCAGAAAATAAATTGTAGACCTCCACAAGTCTGGTTCATCCTTGGGAGCAATTTCCAAACGCCTGAAGGTACCACGTTCATCTGTACAAACAATAGTACGCAAGTATAAACACCATGGGACCACGCAGTGTGAAGATGCTGGAGGAAACGGGTACAAAAGTATCTATATCCACAGTAAAACGAGTCCTATATCGACAACCTGAAAGGCCGCTCAGCAAGGAAGAAGCCACTGCTCCAAAACCGCCATAAAAAAGCTAGACTACGGTTTGCAACTGCACATGGGGACAAAGATTGTACTTGTTGGAGAAATGTCCTCTGGTCTGATGAAACAAAAATAGAACTGTTTGGCCATAATGACCATTTATGCTTGGAGGAAAAAGGGGGAGCGCTTGCAAGCCGAAGAACACCATCCCAACCGTGAAGCACGGGGGTGGCAGCATCATGTTGTGGGGGTGCTTTGCTGCAGGAGGGACTGGTGCACTTCACAAAATAGATTGCATTATGAGGAAGGGAAATTGTGGATATATTGAAGCAACATCTCAAGACATCAGTCGGGAAGTTAAAGCTTGGTCGCAAACGGGTCTTCCAAATGGACAATGACCCCAAGTATACTTCCAAAGTTGTGGCAAAATGGCTTAAGGACAACAAAGCCAAGGTATTGGAGTGGCCATCACAAAGCCCTGACCTCAATCCTATAGAAAATTTGTGGGCAGAACTGAAAAAGTGTGTGCGCGCAAGGAGACCTACAAACCTGACTCAGTTACACCAGCTCTGTCAGGAGGAATGCGCCAAAATTCACCCAACTTATTGTGGGAAGCTTGTGGAAGGCTACCCAAAACGTTTGACCCAAGTTAAACAATTTAAAGGCAATGCTACCAAATACTAATTGAGTGTATGTAAACTTCTGACCCACTGGGAATGTGATGAAAGAAATAAAAGCTGAAATAAATCATTCTTTCTACTATTATTCTGACATTTCACATTCTTAAAATAAAGTGGTGATCCTAACTGACCTAAAACAGGGAATTTTTACTAGGATTAAATGTCAGCAATTGTGATAAACTGAGTTTAAATGTATTTGGCTAAGGTGTATGTAAACTTCCGACTTCAACTGTAAATGTATCTTTAAACAGTGCAATGGGTTTGTTGTGTAGCAGAAACGGAGGTAATTTTGTCTTGACTGGTTCTCGCTGGTGAACTGGTGCACCAAGTAAAGACTCCATCTGCGTCCCAAATGGCACCCTGTTCCACTTATAGTGCACTACTTTTGACTAGGATCCATAGGGCTCTGATCAAAAGTAGTGCACTATATAGAGAATACGGTGCCATTTGGGACGCATCCTTTGTCAGGGATTGAAGTGGTGGGACTTTGAATAAATTGGAAACAGCATATCCTGAGGCCACATTCGTTGTAGCTGGGGATTTTAACAAAGGAAATGTAAGAAATTCTCCCGAATTTCCACCAACACATCTTGCCCCACTCATGGGAGAAATAATTTACATCGGAACATTGTTATTCTCCATTCCGAGACAGATACAAAGAGGACTGGTTGATTCAAGTAGGAAAATGTGTTCCAACAACGAGCTGCAGTTTTTGAATAATGGTGTCCGTCTATTGTTTTTTGCTGAATGAATGAATGAATGAATGAATGAATGAATTACATGTTATTTTTGTGTCAAATCGCAAGTTGGCAACCCATCCCTTACGGGATTAATTGACACATTAACAAACATTTTAAATAATTCAGTAATAATTATTCCGGTGTTCTGTGCAGTGCACACCGCATAAAGGGTGAAAAATAAATCAATACATAATAGTAAATACGTTTATCCAAGCAATAATTATAACCCTAGAGCTGTCAAAATAATAAAAATACGTAGATAAATGAACCCAGTCTGGCACTAAGAGA